GCACACACACACACTTAGCAGCGAGCGGTTGGAGCGGGAGTCGAGAGGCGCGGCGTGTCTTGTGGCTCGGCACTTGACCAAGTCAAGTGATTTGTGAATACGCCCGAACGCATTCAAGTTTTTAGTTCTACTTAGTTTTAGTTTTAGTTGTAGTACTTGTAACAGCTCTCCATGTTGCTCAAAACCTACATACACACGCACACTGACACACACACTTTACTTACCACAAATGTATTTTAAAATGTACTTATAAAAACAAAATATATATATAAATATATGGATATATATATATTCTTGACTTGAGTTCGACTAACGAAATGCACAACACAACAACAACAACAAAATCTTTTTATCTTATTATAGATCTTAAGTTATTCACTTTATTGTATTATGCGTATACCCTACCTACTATTATATGATCAAAATTTTGAATGCTGATTTCATATTTATTCTTTATGTACCGGAAATGTTTTTGTTTTAAATGCCATATTTAATTAAATTGCAAGTGCGCCCCAAACACAAACACAAACTTATTCTCTTTGAAATGCTGTCTGGCACTCTATGAACTATATATATGCCGATAAATATATATATATATATGTATACTTAAACAAAGAAAAACATTTGAAAGCAGCATTATTTTTCTGTTTTTATTTTTATTTTGTTTACCTCTGTTATGTAACGCTTCCTGTAAAGCAACTGTAAATGAGAAATACAAACTATTTTAAATAAAATGATGAGTACTTTTTAATGAAAAATATGAAGATCACCGTGGCATATCCCATTTCAATGGCTAGCATATATATCTGTCTACAGTGGAGATCTTTTCCTGGTGACTTGTAAGTATTTTGCATGGGCGAGCAGCCGCTTGTTCGTTGTCAATCTTGAGCTCACATAGCGCTCCTGCAGCACAATATATTCCCTGATGAGGGACAACATTTCACGTTTCTAGGAGAGAAATGTTTGGAAATTGCAAAGAGATCTTAAGTTCCTATACAGCGAGTGCTACGTACCCGCAATAAATTCTCAACTTGTTTGCTCCACATAGCCGAGATCTGGGGGAAAAAGTATGGGAATCGAATGATGTTCTTATTGGATTACGACTACAACTGTGTCTCTTACCTTTGCTTTGGTAATTTTCGCCTTTTCTTCTTCGGTTATGCGGCTCTGTCGATATGTCCTTTGCAGCAACCTGATGATATTCCTTACCGCACCTCTGTGCTGAACGCAGATCCACATGTTAATGCAATGAAGAATTTTGAATTTTGTTCCAAAAAAAAAAAAAATAATAATAATAATAAATAAGTAGTTCAATCAAAAGATTAGCAGATATGCATCAGCCTACTGATCGAGTCGGCGACTTGGCCCCGTTACCACAATCATTTTACTAATTTATCACAAAAACATCATTTTAATTATCTGCTTGCTGGGTTATCACACTTTGAGTCTGATGCAAATTCCGATTGCTGTCCGTCTTTTGGCTCTTCATTTGCAAACTGGCTTCCACTTTATGCTCCCGCAGGCCTCTTTCTCTAGCAATTTTGTTCCGCAGATTTCTGAGCTGCTCATTTTGCTATGGCCACAGAAGGAAATCGTTAGTAAGGATATCCATGTATGTACGTCAATATCTAGTGATATTTACGCACAATTTTTAGAAAATGCGCATTCTCTACGGCACGGGCTCTCTCATAAATCTCCTTGGTATAATGACGAGACATGATAAAAATCGAGCCCTGTGGAATTGCATCAAAGATCGGTTTGACAAACCGAACGGACTCAAGCGCCTTGAACACAGGCAGCATTCTAATTTAAAAAAAAAATGTCTAAAGAGGTATTGTGTGAACAGAAAAATTTTGAAATTTAATTTGACTTTACATTTTGTCAAAACTTTTTGGGGACAGTTAGTCAAGACCTACCTAGTTAGGCTTGAGTCGAACTTCCATTCATTTGTCATCTTTCATTTTCTCTATCTCTGTCGAGATCTCCTCAATCTCTTCATATAACTCATCAATTTTCTCATTAATTTTTGCCTTTTGCTCCTCATTGATTTTCTTTAATTTTTGTAGTTGATCGTATTGCTGCGAATGGAGATAGATATTAGTATTGATATCGTGAATATACGAATGCGGTATGCGAATCCAAACTTGTTTTCGAAAGTAAACGTTCTCTCTGGCCTTGCCTATCTTATGGATATCTGTGACATGCTTCGTATGCAAGGATATATTACTCATGTTGCTCAGCATTGAATTTTCCGAGTTGGCACTAAAAGCGCCCATAAAAAGTCGATACGAAAATTTGATGAACAACATAATCCTGGTATAAATTCAATTACAAAATTTGGAAAGTTCAGTCAACCAATTACTTTAAAATGTACCTGATCTATACAAACAATGAGCAAGTTTTTATGGCGCCTACTACGATTCATACTAGGTATACGATAGATGTACGATGGGATGAAAGTCAAATGATAAAATGTTTTCAAGCGGAGAATTTATTGGTTAGCAATAATAGTATAAAAGCATATTTCTTTCCTGAATTTGTTTCATCAAGCTGATTAGTATCTTATCAAGTCCCTTATCTCATCAATTTTATCCTGCAGGTCCAGGATTTTATAGTCCAGTTGTCTTCGTTCAGCCATCTTTTGACGCCTCAAGTCCATAAGTGCATCGTATTGCTAATGAAAATGGAAATTCGATATTGCTTAACTACATATATTGAGTCAAGTACGCACCATTTTGAGTAACTTGGGGCTGCTGTATTCCTTGGGTATTTTTTCGTAATACTTTGCAGACTTAGATCTACAAAAGAATGTTACTCGATTACATTTAAAGTGTTCTTTGCATTGGATCTAAGACTCACCTAACGCATTGGAAGGAAAGACAACGTTGGGGATTAAACAGGTTAAAAGCTGTTTTGAATCTGCAGCCGAATAAACCGTCCATAATGAAAATTATGCACAGCAATGCAATTTTGGCTATTGAATTTGAATTTTGAAAAAATTTTTGAATTTCCAGTTCATGCCAAAATGACAAACAAAATAAGTCAACTGGAAAATCTATTCAATAAATGAATTTTAAGTCCAAGAGCTTTATGTTTGCTTCGAATTTATTAAAGGATTTCCGAACTGAGTCGAGAAACTGAGGAGTAATGTCTTCAGAGTAGACAACTTAACTAATGACTGATTCTATTAATGAAGAAATTGTTTTTTTTTTTATAAAACAGTATATAATTTTATTAAATTTACTGTTCAATAGTTTTTAATTATGTATAATTGAATTCTTAATGTTTTCCATTTCTTTTGGCTCAACATTCATAATTATATTATTTCCTTGTTGCATCCTTTAAACGCAATTTTACGTATTCAATTTTTCTATCCAATTGTTCAATTTTATAGTCCAGCCTGAGGCGATCGTGCAGCTTTTTCTTCTTGATTAAGTTCAGTTGTAAATGGAGCTATTAAAATGAGAAGTAAAAACAATTATATAGAAATCACAAGTTTCAATAATACCAACTCTTTGCAAGGCGTTCTGATAGTCACGCGGATTCATATTATTCATCAATTTTCGACTGTAAGGTCTTTAATTAAATTAATTTAATTATTAAAATATATTGATATATATGATGTTGAAAACTCACTGAAACTTTGTGACGTGAGCTAATCTTAACGGTCTCAACAAATTCAATACTGCTTTAGTTTTGAGGCCCCAGAACAAGGCTGCCATATTCCAAATCCTTAAAAGAAAAAATTTAAAATTAAAAAAAAAAAACAATTTCGAAAATTCAAGATGTTAAAATGGATTTTAAAAGTATTATTCTCAAAGTATTGAAGTTATTCGGAAGGCCTACGTATTCATAATTTCCAAGCGAATCAGGTTTTAGTATTTTCACGCTCATCGTTTTTCCTTTTGATGGAGTCTATCTGCTTGTCCAGCTGCTGGATACGGTCTCTGATCACTTCCTTTTCCTTAAGTATTTTCTGACGCAGCTCTTTTAGCTGTTCCCGTTGCTAACAGATAGAGGATGGTTAGTCAATTGCAGAGCCTCGGCTGCATTCCATATCGTACCATTTTCAGGAAATGCACATTCTCCTTCGCCTTGCCCGCCTCATGGATCTGACTGGAAAATCTACAGGTGATCGAACAGCAGCAGGAGATTCAGTTATCGATATCATATCATATCATATCATACTCACTTCAGCAACTGTTGACAGCGCACCAATGGCGATGACTGCAACAGGCGCAGATTCTTGGCAACAAAGAAACTCAGAAACCGATGAATGGGAGTCATTTTGTTAATTTTGAGATGCTTAAAATTTTGAATAATAAATTTACAAATATAAAAGCATTGAAATTTATGAGTATATGAAAGCCAGTGGCATTTTCAAACTTCAACTTGAAGTCTAAGGTAAGGCTAAATTGAGCTGGAAATTCACTAGACATAAATGCTGACAAAGATTATCTATATTCAGCACAGATGCCCTCTCATCCCACCACAAGCAAAAAAAAAATCACAGATCTTTAGTTGTTATAAAGCTGTTAATAATTTATTGAACTTTGCAAAAAGATTTTTGATCGTTCTTAGGGCAGTCAGTGGCTTTTGTTTAGGCGTACATAGTCTGGGGCCGACCAGGTTGTCGTATGGGCGCATCGTAGATGAAGGGCCGTTGCTTTGGCCGGGCGCCCGAGGAGCCGCCCCTCCAGCTGTTGCCGCCACTGTCACGGGATGGTTCTGCCACTGCGCCGGGCAGGCTGCCGAGCGTCGCGATCAGAGCCAACAGCAGAAAGAAGCAGAGTGCGATGAATTTCATGATGTGCTCGGTGAAGCTTTCTCGGTGCGACTAATAGCTCAGCTCAGTGGGGCGAGGCGATTATATATGGAGACAGCAGTCGCTTGCGGCTTGCGGTAAAGCACCGAGTGGGATTTTTGCAATTTGCGTCTTCCAAGTGAGCCCCCTGATAAGCGAACGCAACAAAAAAAAAAAAAAAAAAGAAGAAAAAAAAGGAAAACAAAATCACAGACTTATTTGCTCCCTCTCTCTCATTCGTTCCCTCTCCCGCTCCCTGTATCTCTCTATATCTTTTGCTCCCGTTTCGCTGGTGGCTTTTCATTTGTTGGGGTTTCCTGAGGTGCTATGGACGCCGGCTTCTGCATCCGCATTAGATCAATGTCGAATTCCATTTGTTTAATGCTCCTCGTCAGATCAGTCAACATGGATTCGACGCAACGCTGTCTCTGCCAGAGCAGTTTCGATCGGGCCTCGAGCTCAGCGCGCTCCTGTAAATATTTATCATAAATATGTGTATATATATAGATATCTGGCTGATCTTACCAAACGCAGTTCCTCTAGCTCCAGGTCTGTACTGTTTCGCATTACGTTAGCCAGATTAAAGTTGCTTTTGATCAAGTATTTCCTAGTACCGTCATTTGTTAGTGGTAGTAACTTTCTCTGATTTGAACTTACCATTGGGTGAAATCTTTGGTCTGCTTTAGAATTTTGCGTATTAAGTTTGCCATTTTTTTGGTGTTTTTTTAATATTTGTCCGTATAACCGTCAGAAGCCAAGAATCTGTTTTATGAGACGAAAGTTTGCTTCCATATACAAGGTATTGTTATGTTCTAACTGAAATATTTCACAATGTATACCAGTTTATAAATTTTGGATTCAGCTTGCTGGATTAGGCATAAAATGTTTGAGACCATAAATTTTGGGTATAATTCAATTCAAATGGCATAATTTAATGGCTGTATACTTTATTTTAGATGCTACTGTATAAACACTTTTGTATGAAATTATTGCTGCATACTTTTAGGCATGCACAATAAATTTGATGCTTATCACGCTGACCTAAAGCCGTCTAACGACCTTAGTTCCGATTTTGTTTGATAATTTAACTCATAAATAGGGTTTCCATATGTGTAAATATTTAAAAAAATATTTTTTTTTTATATTTTTTATATAAGATAAGTAAATATTAAAAGTGGGCTTACTTATTGTGAATTAGGCGACACAAATTTCAGACTTTCGTCATAAAGAGCTTAAATTAACACAAAGCAATATTATTAAACTGATAAACGAAATAAAAAAAGGCGTGTACTTTCCTTTTAATTCACAAACAAGAAAATTCTTCCCAAAATTATCGTCGATACGATCAAATAAATACGATGAAATTCACTTTACTGCACCAGAAGTAATTTTCAAATTAATTTACAGATGAATGAAAAAGATGCTAATAAATACAAATTAATGAATGACTTTGTACATTTTTGCTGCGAGCGTTCGGCGTGTACAACAAACCCGTCTTAAATGCTGTTAATTGCATGAAATATAAATACTTGATTACAATTTATTTATTCATGAAGTTAGACTACTCCCATGGCAAAGCGAATCGCCAACTTTGTCATCTCTTAGACGAGTCAAATTAAAATTTTAATGAAATCATATTTATCAATGAAGGCGAGCGAGGCGACCCGCCGAACCGACTGACGGCAGCAGAAAAACAAATTTATTTAAAAGTTGTATATGCCAGAAGCAAAAATATCAAAAAACACTTTTTATTTAAGCATTTAAACAGTTCGGTTTAAGCTTTAAGAACAATACAAACAAAATCTCTAAATGCATTTAAGTAAATGTCATATCATAGTTTCAGGTGATGTGAAAGCTGCTTTGTGTTGGTTAGTTTGTTGCTTCATTCACTTGTTCAGGTTGTTGAGGAACTGCTTGTGACGCTGGATGGCCTCCTCGTGCTCCTTGATCTGCTGATGATGGAATTCGGCCTGATGGATCTGATCGTTCTTCAAGCGCTCCAGCTGCTCCCTTTGCTGTAAAGAGAACAAAAATGGTCGTTAGAGAAAGTAATTAGGAAATTTAATCACGAGAGCACTCAAACGTTATTCTGTCTTAATTATAGCTTGACGATAACTGACAACATTTATTATCTTTCGCATTATTTACAGACAATAGCGACTACGTTATAAAGCCGCTTAGCAGTGGGCCAAAGCCCCAGTGCCTGAGTGTCAACGCGAATATTAAGCAAAAACGATTTTTTAGCACACACTTGACAGAATACAAACAACTCTCCAGCCAACCCCGAAAAAAACCCAAAAACAAAAAGCATGTCACTCTATGCAAATTAGCCAGCTACCATATTATTAGCTTGCGAACGAGAGAACATAAGAGCCAATAAAGAGAAAAAAGGTGGGGAAAAAACGGCCAGCATATAATCAGTGCTGCTGCGGCTGTAGCAGTAGCATCTGCCTGAGATCCACACGCTGACCAAAGTCAACCCTGAACCTGATTCTGTATCAGTTGTATTGGCTATAGGCTGGCTCTGCCTGCCAACCAGTTTTAGTTGTGCGTCGCCAGTCGAAGTGATAAAAGCGTGAGTAAAAGCAAAGAGTCTGCCAAGAAAGTGAGCATTGCACACAAGGCCAAGCTACTAATACAACTGGCCAAGCTGAGATTGTCCAGGCACAACGCAAATACAGCTAATTGAAAGTCAATACTCATGCAAAGGCTTAGCTTTAGCTAAATTAATATATAAATATATAATACCTATCAGTTCCAAAAAAAATAAATATTAATAACACAAAAACAAATACAAGCACTCATCAAATTCTATATAAGACGTTGATAAGCGCAGACCAGATCAATTCCACATAGCTCATTGACAACTTCGGAAATCATTCAAGATGAAACGTTGGCGCAACAACATGTTGATTGTGCCGCTGCTGCTCGTCGTCGGAGCGAGCGTTGGCGTGTTGGCTGCTGGCTACACTGGTTCGGTGAGCAGCGTTCTTGGAGCAGCGCGACCCGTGCGCTCCGTGGAGACGCTGAAGGAATGGCAGCAGTTGGAGTACGGCTTCGCCTCGGACAGGGATCGGCAGAAGGCGCAATCGGATGGCAACTTGATGCCTGGCTATGGCACGCCCATTGATGTGCAGCCCCATTATCTGCCCAACGGACAGGTGCGCATCTTCACCACAGTGCCACGCTTCGTCACCGGCATACCCTACACGCTGGCCACAGTCTCCGAGCAGCCGGGTCACAATGGTCCCCAGTTGCAGCCGTATCCGGGCTACAGTTGGCATAACAACAATGGCGACAACTGTGACCAGATTACGTCAGCATTCCGTGTGTCTGTGAGTAGCTCGAGCTCTTGGTGACATAGAATAGGGAATCTAACCTCATCCCTCTGCCATTGACAGATCAACGAGTGCAATCAGATGTGGGTCATTGACTCGGGCAATGTGGGTGGCGTGCAGAACTGTCCGCCACAGTTGCTGAAGTTTGACCTGAGCACCGATAGACTGCTGCATCGCTTCCGTTTACCCAACGATACCTATGTGGCTCACGCTTCGATACTCATCGCAACCAATCTGCTGACGCAGGATCCGCCGCCGCGTGGCAACTGTGCCCGCACCATGATCTATATACCGGACGTGAACTACCACGGACTCATCGTGTACGATCATCAGGCCGATGCAGCCTGGCGCATTGAGAACCGCTTCATGTACCCGGATCCCGACTATGGCCGCCACACCATTGCCGGCGAGAGCTTCACTCTGATGGACGGCATCTTTAGCGTGAACAATGACAGACAGAATCTCTACTTCCATCCACTGGCCAGCATCAGCGAGTACTCTGTGCCGCTCAGCTTGATCAACAGGCGACAGAACTGGGAGGACAATTCGGGTGCCATGGAGGATCAATTCAAGTTGCTGGGCAGGCGTAAGAGCGAGTGTGCCGCCTCGGCCATGGACAGTCGCAACAATCTGTACTGTGTCACCCTCAATCCCATCAAGCTGTTCGCCTGGAACACTAATACGCCCTACACCACACGCAACTTTGGCAATCTGCCTGCCAAATCCAGCGAGCTGCAGTTCGTTAGTGGCATGAAAGTCGTACGCAATCCTGGCGGTCAGGAGGAGCTCTGGATGCTCTCCAATCGTTTCCAGGTAAGATACAGCTTCGACTAATCTCTGGCAATCGATTTACTGAACTATGTTATAATTATTTGTTTTTTCTTATAGAAAATTTCGGCGGGCACATTGAACTCGAACGAGGTTAACTTCCGCATCATGCGCCGCCAGCTCGACGATATTCACAGCGGCATGTACTTCGCCAGCGACGATGATCTGACGAATCGTCTGATCTTTACTTAAGCTACACAGTAAACAGTTATACCTAAATACAAATTACTTAAATATCTTAGGCTTTCACAAGGCGCAATAGCTAATTATCTATATGGGATATTTAACTCGTTAAAGTAAAAATTCAAATATCCCAAAGCTCTGCTTCTATATTAATTTTAAATATATATCCTATAATTTTATCAGACAATTAAAATACTTATGAATTATGATGATTGCAGTCATTATACAAGAATTTTGTATTCCTTACAATTTGAATACCTGCACTTGATCAAAAAAGAAAACAAAAACAAAAAACAAAAAACTGACACGCGTTTTCAAAACACATTATACAGGGTGTTATTTTCGTGACACAATGCTACGTGTTGTTGTATTACTATCGCTTATATTTTTGTCATCAAGTTCATAAGTCGCCTTATCGCTAATGCTACGCATTGAAGATGAATTCGCGACAACACACGGAGCGAGCGGAATTTGTTTTACAGCAACATGTTAACAATATTTAAGCGGGATCCGGTTATAAATAAAAACGGCAAAAAGCTATAAAGAGGACTATCAAAGCGACTAATTTATACTCTCTAATAACAACTTATACTAACTAGAGTAGTCTAAAGAACTGAGTTAGGGAGCAGAGTAACTGAGAGATAGCTCTTTATATTAAGCGATGTGATATTCATTATATTTAGTTGCTCACTAACCTAGTTTCAATACAAAAGAAATTTGAGCAGAGAAACTTGCAACTATAATTCACTCTTTGACTCTTTTGCAAATATCGCATTAGTCTCTTTAACAAAAAAATCGTTAATATAATAATAATATATCTATATAAAAACCTCGCCCTAAATACAAATTTCATGGGGATTTTTTAGCCAAAACAGATGATACCAAAGTAGCGCGAAGCTCTGCTCAGCTTTGTTGATATTCACGAGAAAAAAAGGGTGTCAACACGGGCTTAAGCAAACAGAAAAATCAGCTAACAAAAAGTCTTAACGACTTTCGTTAGAGTATATGTAATTTATTGTTACAACACATATATGGGGGGCCAATGGACTCTACCTTGACGTCGTGTGTTGCAGCGAGTGGAATCTGGAAGTGGCTGGAAGGCAGGCATAATTAGTGCCCCGAATCGCACAGCTTAGCCAGATTTGTTTTTGGCCCGCAGTGAACTTAAACAAGATCGTTACAATGAGAATTTTAATGCAAGCTTTCAATTGGCAATTAAACCAGTTTACCACAAAGCTGACCCAATTGATCAGGTCTGGTCGGTCGGCTGATAGCCGTATTAGAAAGACATGGGCCGTTCGCTGGCGACGCGAGCGCAGTAACTGTTTTGGCCTTACGTGGAGCACATCGCGCGAAAGTGAATGGATTACAGCAGCATGAATTACCAGCATTGCATAAGGATAATTGCTTTGGCTAGCTGTTTGATTGCCATTGTGGCAGGACAGTATGCGACAGCACCAGGCATTGGATACCACTCCAAGGCCTTGGAAAGAG